GGTGAAACTCCGACGAAACAGTTTGTCACAGCCCCTCGTTTGTTGTCCTCTTCTCCCTCTCTGCCTACGGTTTACCGGGCAGTTCTATTTGACGTGTCACAGCCCCTCGTTTGTTGTCCTCTTCTCCCTCTCTGCCTACGGTTTACCGGGCAGTTCTATTTGACGATATATATATATATATTTGGGGTCCAAACCCCGAATAACACCACCAACACCCCCATAGCGGCCCCCAATTCGCCCATACACCCCCAAACCGCCCCCAACACCCTCATTAGCCCCCCCCAATACCCCCTATACCTGCCCTAAACCCCCTGTACCCCCTCTATACCACCCATATACTCCCACCCCAACCCCCCATTCCCCCCCCATCCCGCCCCCATCTCCAAAAGTTTCTCAGCGGATTTGGGCTGTACTTAGCAAGCGCAGTACAGCCCCCAATTCAGATTTGAAAAAAAATCAGTGGATGGTTGTTTTTTGACTGATCGGCGGACCGCCGACCGGCCGGCCCCGATCGGTCGGGGTCGGCGGTCGGCGCCGGTGCAACCCTGTTTGAACCGCAAAAAATATCGCGGAGGTCATTCGACTAATTTTTGAATTTTGCCACTCCGCTTGTTCCCCCCACTGTGCTACCGGTAGCCCTCATGGACCTGTGCTACCGGTTCCCCCTAATTTATGACGGGGGGGGTAGTGGTGGTTTAAGGAAGTGCACGTCAGTAAGGGATGCCACAAACGCGGTAGAGTGTCTGATCTGTGTTCCTGGAGTGCGCTACGACCCCAGGTCCTACTTACCACTTACCTGAGGTGTCTCCCTATAGAGATGAGGAATCAGTTGGCAAGTGAGGCCATGATCACGGTGCACAACTTTCCCTCGTTCAACAAGAAGGCCCTAGAGGCAAAGATCGGGCATGGGCACCAACCCACTATGGATGGTAGGAAAAAGGCACTGCCTCCTAACTGGAAGGCCAAGGGGCACATCATGTTCATTGACAACGATGGTACTACCATAGAGTTAGACGACGATTTCCAGATGGGAGTAGGGTCAGAGTCCGGTAGAGCAGAAGCTGCAGGGGGTGCAGCAGTCGCTGCCTCAGTTCAGAAAGGTAAGGCGACCGGTAGACGCCGTGGAGATTCCCGGTCAAAGAGTCAAGTAGACCCCAATGCTCCTCGATGGGAGAAAGCGGGGCTTACGGAGGACGTGTGGAGAGATCATTACTCCCGTTCAGCTCGTATTCGCTGTGGCCAGTATGGTCATACACAGTTTAAGTGTCGGAATCATGAAGTGATTGAAAAGATCCCGCCTACGCTGGGGCAGACGCCGGTCTCCTCCACTTTCGAGGGTAGCAATGTGGCCAGCAGCTCTGGCACTGCTTCGGGAAACACATCGGGCCAGTAGGAATTTTAGTTGTTCCTGCTATGGTCGAGGTGGTGGGCACACCCTCACCATCTCGAGAAATGGCCCAAGCTATTGACTCTGTCGTCGTCCCGCAACCACATTCGGACCAATCAATCCTCTGTTCGATGAATGTGTTAGTCCTTAGAGAAGCTAGAGGAGTGGTTTAGATCAGACCCATTAGCTTTTTGGGCGGCAATGGCTAAAGCTCCTAAGGGTGAGTTGTTCGTCGACGCAGTAGATATAGGCGGCCGTAAGGTTGGGGCCTTCTATGATACTTGTTCGACGAGGAACTTTATCAGTCGCGCTTGTGTTGAACGGCTGCGCTTACAGGGGCAAGTGCATCGCCTCAGTCGACCTGTGGAGTCGAACTGTGCCAACAAACAGCGCATGGTAGTCAATGACTACCTAAAAGGTGTGGAGTGTTGTTTCCCATATGCGGGAGGGGAACTTAGACATAAAATCTCGTTCTTAGTTAGCGATGATCTCCCTATGGATATCTTGTTGGGTACGTACTATCTTTCGGTTGCATAGCCCCAGTTTAAGTACATACCCTCCTCCGGATTTTGCTTATAATAATTGTAGAACGCGGCCGCACACATGCGCACCCGTAGGACTCAATCAGACTACTACCTTTATACTTACGTAATCTGGCGGTACCCCCTCCTGGCAAAGTGTGTTTGACCACTTTTCAGTCCCAATCAGTGTATGTCTCTACAGAGGGTGAGCCGGGGAAAATGCCTCCAGAGATAGAGGGAGTGGCCGCTAAATACCCGGATTTATTTGAAGAGCCGAAAGGGGTTGTTGAGAGGGAGGTCGTCCATGCGATAGAGAGATTATCACAGGGTCTAGTATTTCGAAGGGTAGGATCTATTCGATGTCTCTAGGAGAGGTTGATGAGCTTCGCCGACAGCTCAAGGATCTCATAGAGAAGGGATGGATCCAACCGAGTGTCTCCTATTACGGGTCTCTTGTCCTATTTGCACCGAAGAAGGGGAGAACGTTGAGGATGTGCATTGACTATAGGGGCCTCAATGCCATCGTTGTGAAGAACACAAAACCCCCACCACGCATCGATGACTTGCTGGACCGAGTGCAAGGGTGCCGGTACTTCAGTAAGATTGATCTGAAGTCCGGGTACCATCAGAGTGCAATCCGTCCTGAGGATCAACACAAAACCGCCTTTCAGACCAGGTGCGGTCTGTACGAGTTTGTGGTGATGCCTTTCGGCCTTTGCAATGCTCACGACACCTTTCAGCACGTGATGAACCGGATTTTTCATGAGTACTTGGATAAGTTTGTCATCGTGTACCTCGACGACATACGTATCTTCAGTAGGATGTCGAGGAGCATGAAGCCCATCTGGACAAAGTCCGTAGTCTCCTTCGACAACACCAGTTCAAGATGAATCGGGAGACGTGCGAGTTTGGCCGCACGTGGATCTTGTGTTTGTGTCATGAGATTTCCACAGAGGGCTTGAAGCCTGATGACGCGAAGGTGGCCAGCATTCGTGACTGGCCGCGTCCTCAGTCTGTGACTGAGGTCAGATCCTTCTTGGGGATGACCGACTACTACCGCGATTTCGTGAAGAACTATAGCATAGTGACGGCACCCTTGTCGGATCTCACACTCCTTGACACCCCCTGGGAGTGGACAGACATGTGTGAGGCTGCTTTCGGACATTTGAAGCATTCCATGACACACCATGAGGTCTTGAAACCTCCTGATCCTGACAAGCCGTTCGTTGTGACCACGAATGCCAACCAATATGGCATTGGTGCCGTGCTCGCGCAGCAGGAGGGGAAAAAGTTGAGGCCGGTAGAGTACATGTCCAAAAAGATGCCCTCTCAGAAGTTGGCTAAATCCACCTACAAGAAGGAACTGTATGTGATCTACAAAGCGCTGACTCGATGGGGGCACTACCTCGTTGGGCGATTCTTCTATGTCAGGACTGATCATCAGACCCTGAGGTGGATAAGGACCCAACCTGTACTCTCCGATGCTTTGAAACGCTGGACTGAAGTCACAAAACAATATGACTTCGAGCCTCTGGATGTCAAAGGGGAGTACAACAAGGTTGCTGATGCGCCTCTGGATGTCAAAGGGGAGTACAACAAGGTTGCTGATGCGCTGTCTTGTGGACCAGACTTCCTTGGGACACTGATTATTGAGTTTGGGCTTGCGGACAATGTTACTCGATCCTTGGTGGAAGCCTATCGCGAGGATCCGTTCATCGCAAAGATCATACGCAGACTCGAGGCGAAGGACAAGGTGACGTCTGACGAGTTTGTGTTGGTCAATGACCTGTTGTTCCTCGAGAAGGCCTGGAATAAACGTTTGTGTGTGCCAAATAAAAAGTCTTTGCGTAGTTTCTTTCTAGGAGAGTGTCACGACGCCACCAAACATTTTGGGTATAAAAAGACTGCAGCTAACGTGTTGCAGCATTTCTGGTGGCCCACGATGATGAAGGATGCGAAACTGGATGTTGAGACTTGCCAAGTCTGTCAACGTGATAAGCCTCGGACACAGGCTCCTCTTGGGCTACTCAAGCCCCTTCCGGTTCCAGAGAGCCCCGGTGAAAGCCTGTCCATGGACTTCATGGATACGCTGGTCACCAGCAAGAGTGGAGGTGGTGGTCGTCTTTGAAATGGTTTTCACCTATTGCAGTCACAGATGCGGATCCCAGGGCTCGATCCCCAGACCTTACCTTGCCTGTGCACAATATCAAGTTGACCCTGTGTGTCTTGAACCCGTGACCTGTGTGTTAGTAGTTGAAAGTTGTCTGCCGTAGGTTTGTGGGGTCTTGAACCTTAGACCTGTTAAAGTAGGGGTCATACCTGCATAGGGGTCCTAGTTGTTGTAGTTCTGAAAGGTCAAGGTAGTAGCTGCTACAGTCCTGAAAGGTCAAGGTCGTAGCTGCTACAGTCTTGAAAGGCCAAGTCCGCAAACTTCAGGAAGGTCCGGAAGTGGCCTTTCAAGTTTCTTCTCACGTTATACACAGCGGATCCAGAGGCAACTGGGCAAGTGGTGAGTCCAACCTCGCTTAGTCAGAGGTACCCAGTCCCAGTCTCACTTTGTACAGTCAGCAAGTACCATGAGGGATTGTGTGCACCATGGGCCCGGTGGAAAAGGGCAGACCAGCGACTTCGAGAAGTATAAATCAAGAGGCAGCGCCACCAATCATTCATTACTGCGTGAGCCATGCGGAAGCGCTGCCAAGGCGACTTGTGCGAGGTGGTCTGCAGACGCTCAAAGTCGAAGTGGGCTGGAGGAAGGAGATAGCATCCAGTGCTAGTGTTAGTAAGCGGCCATAGCCGCTATAGCTTAGCAGTTAGTGGTTAGTGAGTAGAGAGGTGTGTCTGAAGCACAGTGTGCGTGAGCGTGTGGGATATCCAGGGAGATCCAGAGTGAGTGCGTGTAAACTCTGAGTTGATAAGTGAAGTGAAGGCGTGCGGTCGCCATAGCTATTCTGAAGCAAGTTTGTCTCCGAGTTGTGTGGGCGCTCTGCGCCAGAGCGATTTGCTATCTGTTTGCATGACTGTGAAGTGAAAAGAAGCGAGTTTGATTGCATTGGTATCAGAGCTGGTTCCCGCTATTCCACGCACCATAGCAGAAGTGCGCCGAAGAAGAAGAGTCCACCATGGCTGCGCTGCAGAAGGAGGTGCCGCGTACCTGCAAAGAAGACAACGACGAGAGAGAGAGAGAGAGAGAGAGAGAGAGAGAGAGAGAGAGAGAGAGAGAGAGAGAGA